ACTTTGTGCACCAGGCCTCTAGTATTTCAATAAAGCCCGAGCTGGTTCGGCCCAGTGTCTAGAGATCGGCCTGTGGACTGAAAAGTCGCAGGTTCAATTCTGGTCAAGGCACATGCCCAGGTTGTGGGCTCGATCCCCAGTGTGGGGTGTGCTATTTTTTAAAAATATTTTAATATAAAAGTTATTAGAAAAACTGGACTGCATCAAAATTAAAAGCTTTTATACTGCAAATGATTACCATCAAGAAAATGAAAAACAACCCACAGAATGAAAGAAAATATTTGCAAATAAGGGACCTATATCCAATCTATAATAAAAGTATAATACGCTAATTAGACCAGACAGCCAGACGACCTTCCAGATGAAGCCAGGGTTGTGAGGGCCAAGCCCCTTGCACGAATTTCATGCATCAGGCCTCTAGTCCTATATAATAAAAGCTTAATATGCTAAGTGTCCGGTCGCCCATTCAACCAATCAAAGCATAATATGCTAATGAGCCCTTACCGGTTTGGCTCAGTGGATAGAGCATAAGCCTGTGGACTCAAGGGTCTCAGGTTCGATTCCCGTCAAGGGCATGTACCTTGGTTGCGGACACATATCCAATAGGGAGTGTGCAGGAGGCAGCTGATCGATGTTTCTCTCTCATCAATGTTTCTGACTCTCTCTATCCCTCTCCCTTCCTCTCTGTAAAAATAAAATCAATAATATATATATATTTTTTTAAAAAGAATGAAAAAAATATGCTAATGATATGCTAGGGCTGCTCAACCACTTGCTATGACGTGGACTGACCACCAGGGGGCAGACCCTTTGACCTACTGGCTAGCTTGCTGCTGTGGTCTGGCCGATTGGGACTGAGTGGGATGGACCAGACACACCCTGGAGTCCTCCCGTGGTCCCTCCCCAGCTGGCCAGCCTCCCACTTCCCTCCCGGGTCCTGATCGTGCACTGCTGGGGTCCCTCGGCCTGGTCTGTGCCCTCTCACAATCTGGGACCCCTTGGGGGATGTCGGAGAGCTGGTTTCAATCCCACAGGCTAGGCCGAGGGACCCCATTGGTGCACAAATTCGTGCACTGGGCTTCTAAAATACACATATATATGTAAACTCTTGAGGAGGGGTGGGGAGGTTCAAGGTGGAGGAGATCAATGGGAAGAAAAAGGGGGGCATTTGTAATACTTTCAACAATAAAGATAATTTTTTTAAAAAGAACTCTTACAACTCAATAATAAAAGACAAATAATCCAATTTTAAAATGGGCAAAGCACTTGAATAGACATTTCTCCAAAGATATGTGAATTAGCCAAAAAGCACATAGATACTCAACATTATTAGTCATCAGAGAAATGCAAATCAAAATCATTTCACGTTCACTAGATGGCTATAGGAAAAGAGACAAACCAAAAAAAGAAAAGACAAATATCTGCTGTAAAGATGGAGAAATTGGAATCCTCATACTTTGTATATAAAGTAGTGTAGCCACTTTGAAAAATAATGTATCCATAATGTCCACGCAGAAACCTACTATACACAAATGTGCACAGCAGCATTATTCATAGTAGCTAGAAAGTAGAATGACCCAAATGTCCATCGATTGATGAATAAATATATATAAAATGTAGTAGGTGCATACTTAAAATGGAATATTATTCAGAAAAAAAAAAAAGAAGAAATGAAGTCCTGGTTGGTGTGTTCAGTGGTTAGAGCACCGGCCTGCCCACCAAAGGGTCTTAGGTTTGATTCTGGTCAAGGGCGCGTACCTGTGTTGCAGGGTCAACCCCCTGGGTCAGGGCACCAATCGATGTGTCTCTCTCAGTGATGTTTTTCCTCTCTCCCTCCCTTCTACTCTCTCTTAAAATTAATAGAATAAAAATATCCTCGAGTGAGGATTAAAAAAAAAAAGAAAATAACCAAGGAGCACATGAAAAGATGCTCAATACATTAGTCATTTGGAAAATCAAAACCACAATGAAACGCCATTTAAAAAAGAAAACATAGAAAGTAACAAATGTTGGCAAGGTTAATGAGGAATTGGAACCCTTTCACATTGTTGGTGGGAATGTAAAAGAGCAGAGCATCTATGGAAAACAGTGTAGCAGTTCCTCAGCAAATTAAACATAATTACCACATAACCCAGCAATCCCACTCCTAGCTATATCTCCAAAAGAACTGAAAACAGGTGGTCTAACAAAAACCTGTGCACAAATGTTCACAGCAACACTACTCGCAATAGCCAAACAGTGGAAATTACCAAAATGTCAATCAGGTTAACCATGTGAGGTGATGGATGTTAATTATCTCGATCTTGGTAACTCATACCAAAATATACACACACACATTTTATATATATAAAATTTTACACACACACATTACATATATATTACACACACACACACAAAGTCAGCACCATTACACACTTTAAATCCTCAATAAAGTTTGGGGAGGGCAATTTTTTTTTTCAATCCTGACCTGAGGATATTTTTTTCATTGCTTTTACAGAGTAAAAGAGAGGGGGACACAGATTAGTTACACATGCCCCACCCAGGGGCAGGGAGGCTCGTGGCCTCTAATCACTGAGCCCTCCAGCCAAGGGAGGGAGGGAGGGAGGGAGTTTTTTAAGTCCATCAGGTGATGAATAGATAAATGAAACGTGGCCCATCCAAACAATGGAATATTACTCAGCCATAGGAAGGAATAAAGTACTGATAACTGCTACCACATGGATGACTCTTGAAAACTATGCAAAGTGAAAGCCAGACCCCCCCCCCTAAAAAGGCCACACATTTTATGTCCATTTTATGAAATATCCAGAATAAGAGAAATCCAGAGACAATAGTGGTTGCTAGGGGGTGAGGGGAGGGAAATGGGAAGTGAACTTAATGGTACGAAGTTTCTTTTTAGGGTGATGGAAAACAAGTACCAGAACAAGACAATGGTGATGTCTGTACAACACTGTAAAGGATGTACAAACTGAATTGGGTACTTTAAAATGATAAATTGTTTTTTACACAATTTCTTAGAAATACTGATACATGCTTCAACATGGATAATCCTTGAACATATTACACTAAGTTAAAGAAGCCAGTCACAAAAGTCCAAATATTGTATGATTCCATTTACATGAAATGTCCAAAGTAGGTAAATGCAGCGGCAGAAAATAGATCAGTGATTGCCTGAAGCTTGGGAATCAGGGAATACAGGGGAGGGCTGAGTGCCAATCTAACGGGCTTCTTTTAGGGGGGCCTAAATGTTTTAAAATCAGATTGTGGTGATGGCTGAATAACCCTGTGTATATACAAACAAGAAACACTGGACTCTACATTTCAAAGTGAATGGTCTATGTGAATTATGTCTCAATGTTGTTTTAAAAAAGGGCAAAAACTGCTTGGATGTAAAGTTTGCAACCTCAGCTTAAAACTCATCTTCTCTATGACATCCACGTTATACTGATCTCAGCCAATTTCTACCCCTTGACTTCCGTTAAAAGCAGAACTACGTGAAAGCGCTTACATTTTTTGGTTACGCTGGAACCTAATTACGTTGAGAGGACGGCTGCGCTCAATAAATTCCATTATACACGCACTTTTGGTCACCCCAGCACTTACTGTTGGAGTCAGATTTGCCCTCCCGCGAGCCCGACGCCCAGAGCTGGGAATGACTCCTTTGCCTTAGGAAGTTCCCTGACTTCTCGACAAGACTGCAAGCTCCAAGGCTGAGACCTTGACTCCCATTCCTTCCGGATCCCGCCACAGAATGCAGAAACCAGAAAAAAAAGCCTTGACTAAACGCCTGCTGAAAGGCGGCTACTGAGCATGCCCGGCGTGGCCAAGTCAATTCAACAACATTCCGGAACAAAAACTATAGTTCCCGCGTTAAAAGGTGGAAAAACAGAGGAGACGGGCGCAAAGCCTACGGACTCGATCTAAAAAGAAAGGCAAGGTTCAAAGGCTCAGCAGAAGTGAAGGACAAAACTTAGACAACTCAAACATCGTACTTGGTAGAGAGATGTAGTCTGGAAGACCAAAAAAAGGGGGGGGGCTAAAAAAAATACTAGATTAACGAAAGGAGGGAGGTCAACAGGAGGATGAAGGGCACCGATGACGTAGGGTAACCATACGTTTCTCCAAAGCAACCCTACCCAAAAGTAATACCAAGATGATCGATTCTACAGCGTCAACACGAACGCAGGATGCAGTGCAACGAGGGAGGCTCACTTCGAAGTAGTTCCCTTTTGCAAACAAAAAGCCGGGCCGTGGCCAAGCTATCCAACCAAGGCTGGCTAAGCTCTCGGCTCCTGCCTTTAACCATCTCCCCGCCATCTTCTAGCTAAGAACCCAGAACCCTTCCTACGGGGCTCTCAGCAGCATCACCGCCGTGCAGAGAGCCCGGGAAGGCTGCGCTTCCCAGGGCGCCCAGACGGCGGAAGGGAGGAAGCCTCCACCTTGCTCTTCTCCGCTCCTGCTGGATGCACCCGATGGGCCGCCGTCTTCCTTCCCCCATCCCGATCCCCAGCCCTATTTTCCAAGGTCCGACGCGATGGGGGGCGCGAGCCCGGTGCACGGGCCTCACCTGCACACGCCGCGGATGCAAGGCTCCAGCCAGATGCGGTAGGCGGTCTCGATGTGCTCCTGCGACACCTCCTCGGGCCGCACCGTCTCCGCCCAGCGCCAGGCGGCCTTCTCCAGCTGCAGCCGCGGGGCCATGGCCTTGGCCGGAGGAGCGCCTCCGGAGTCGGGCTGCCGCTGCCGCCTCCGCAGCCGCCCCACTGAGCTCCGCCACCTGCCAGCGATGAAGACCAGACGCTCCCTCAGCCAGCTGGCCAGTCAATCACCTGCGCGCGCCACGGCCGCCGCGCCCGCCCGCGCCCGCCCGCACGACCGGCCGCAAAGCACCGCCGCCGACACCCGACACCGTCCCCCCGCCCCTCACTCCCGCGGACGTTGAAAAGCACTCCCCACCGGGATGGGCGCATGCGCGTTCCCAGCAGCCTTTGCGCCTCCCGCGCCTCTGAGCAGACGGGTGGAGAGGCAAGTGGTTGTCAGGGGGAGTTTTGCCGCGTCCTCTTCAGCGCTGCTGGAGAAGCAGCGTCTCGGCCCCTCTGCAGGGAAGCGCCCTGCGTACCACTACGCTAACAAGTCGGCGCCGCGAGGGCAAAAGGCTGCCTATTCTTGCCGTCTGGTCCTTCCCCTTTAACCGCGAAGGAATCACGCGAGAGGCTACTCAACGCACACCATAGGTCCGCTGAACTGTGGGGTGGGGCCTGAAACCGGGTCACCAAAGAAACCAGGCTCTGCTCTCTAAGGTTTAACTTGAACCTGGACCGGTTCCGACTCCTTTTCCGAGCCCTCCTGACGTTCTGGGCCTTTTCCTGAACTAGAACCGGACTACAGATCCCGGCGTGCATTGCGCGCTGCCACTCATTGTATTCGAGGCATACTGGGATTTGTAGTCTTGGAGGGAGGGCTTGATGTGCCCGGGATATTGCAGAGGCGCGCGCGGGGGCGGGGTTTTCCTGGCCCGGAGGGTCACCTTTATAGCACCTGACCCTCTTCTCTACTGTTGTCTGGATAAGATAACTTCCTGCTTCTTTCTTGAAGCTCTTCTCTAGCTCCAGGGTTTAAAAACAGTTCATTTTTTTTAAACTTCTGCCCCAGGATATAAAGAGCCTTATCAGAATGTTTTGCAAACTAAAGGGCAGTGCTAGTGTGAGGATTTTGAGAACATTACATTTGAATGAGAGCTCTATGGGGTCTAAGCACTAATTTCTGATTTTGACTGGATTACATTCAGACATTCCCTGAAGGCGTGATGAAAATAAGACCTGTCCTTGCCACTGGAGGTGGGTAAGGTCAGAGGGGTAGAAATACAAGGTCCTCTTCCCAGCCTCGGAAGGTTTGGAGTACTTGAGACAGCGTTCTCAACCTTCCTAATACCGCAACCCTTTAATATAGTTCCTCATGTTGTGGTGACCCCCAACCATAAAATTATTTTCGTTGCTACTTCATAACTGTAATTTTGCTACTGTTATGAATCGTAATGTAAATATCTGATATGCAAGATGGTCTTAGGCGACCCCTGTGAAAGGGTCGTTCAACCCCTAAAGGGGTCTCGACCCACAGGTTGAGAACCGCTGACTTGGGAGAAGGCTTCCCAGAAGAGGTAACTCTTAAACTCATCCTTAAAAGATAAGTAGAAGTTAGCCAGGTAGAAGAAAAGCTCCTTTTCAGATAAAGGGAACAGCAAGGAGCAAAGGCACAGAAGAGAGAAATTTCCTGGTGTGAGGCCACAAATCCTGAGACTTGGAGAGTTGAGAACTAAGGCTTGAGAGGCAGGCCAAGACTGTCTTTATCTGAAGGACTCAGAAAGATTTAAAGCTGGTGAATGATATAAGGAAGATATACATTTTTGTGTAGCTTCCTCCCTCTGGATCAACGTTATGAAGTAATACAGGCTCTATATAATGGAGAGTGTCATAGGTAGAGTGAGAAGAAAATTTTGAAAGATATTTAGGACATATAATTGATACAATTTGATGATGTTGGTCTAATCGATGTATGTTAACTGTCTGTTATTTGACCTTCAAGTCTGGGTCATGACCCTTTCCTTGGTGCTTAGAGATTCCTGTCATCTATTGCCTCACTTAGCACTTGATGAAACAATATTAAATACCTTGTACTGTCAGTGTTATATGCCAGTTTTTAACCTAGGCAACTAAATGAATAGTTTCTACTTTTAAAAAAAAATAACAGAGTGGTTCAGTGGTTGAGCGTTGACCTATAAACCAGGAGGTCACGGTTCGATTCCTAGTCAGAGCACATACCCAGGTTGCAGGCTCAGTCCCTGGTGGGGGTGTGAGGCAGCCTATCGATGATTCTGTCTCTCCCTCTCCCTTGCTCTCTGAAATCAATAAAAAAAAAAAATTTTTTTTAAGAAAAATAACACAAGTGACTCCAAGATGGAGTCACTTTGGTAAGCCCCACCAACACTTAATACAGGCATACCTTGTTTTATTGCACTTTCCTTTTTTGTTGGTATCCTCACCCGAGGATATTTTTCAATTGATTTTTTGGGAGAGTAGAAGGGAGAGGGAAAGACTGAAAGAAACACATCGATTGGTTGCCTCCAGCACCCAGCACGATCCCCCATCCAGGGCCCCAGGCTGCTGGGGAGGAGCCTGCAACCAAGGTATGTGCCCTTGATCAGAATCAAACCCAGGACCCTTTAGTCCGCAGGCCGATGCTCTATTGACTGAGCCAAACCAGCTAGGGTGAGCTTTGCTTTATTGCACTTCACAGATGTTGCATTTTTTATAAATTGAAGGCAAGACCCTCCAGCAAAAAGATTACAACTAACTTTATTGCAGTGATCTGGAACTGAACCCTCAATATCTCCAAGATATGTCTGTACTTGCAGTTTCAGCCTCGTCCAGGAATGGAATTTTTTTTTTAATTGATCTTAGAGAGAAGGGGGGAGGGAGGGAGAGATGTGACAGAAACTTCAATCAGTTGCCTTCCGCATGCACCCCTACGGGGAATTAAATGGGCCAAACCTGCCAGGGCTGGGAATGGAATATTCAACCAATCAGTCTGGAATTAGCTGGTCAGCCCTAGGGGGATTACCTGTTCAAACCCCCTGCCTTTCCCCTTGTTGCCTGAATTAATCCACTGAACTTCCTTGTCCCACCCTCTTTCTGCCTGTGCTGGCTTACCATTGTGTTTCACTTTATCCCACTTCCCAAATGTTGAATTTTCTTACAGATTGAAGGCAAGGACCTCCACTGTGGTCATCTTGGAACCAAACCTGTACTACCTCTGAGGTATGCCTGTAAAACCTACCATTTTGTGCAACTGTTCAGAGCTCCCCTCTAGTTGTTAGGTGAGAGGCTGCCCGATTCATAAATGATTTTCTAATGACAATTAGATCTTCAGATCAGCTCAATTGAATTTTGTTTTTTAACAATACCAAGTGAGGTAGATACTACAGCAAGGCCCTAGATGGTTTGGCTCAGTGGATAGAGCACCGGCCTGCAGACTAAAGGGTCCTGGGTTCAGTTCTGGTCAAGGACACAGGCCCGGGTTGTGGGCTCGATCCCCAGTGTGGTGTGTACAGGAGGCAGCCAATCAATGATTCTCATCATTGATGTTTCTATCTCTCCCTCTCCCTTCTCTGAAATCAATAAAAATATATATTTTTTAAATACAGTCGTTTCCAAACATTTTTTAAAAAAATGACAGAAGGTGCAGGTTTAGAAGGTAGAGGACGATTTCAATTTTTAATATATTGAATTTAACCCAATCTATCAAATGTTTACATTTCTATATGAAATCAGTATTTTTACTATGTTAATGAAATATTCTACCTTCTCTTTTTCACACCGCCCTTTGGAAATCTGGTGTGTGTTTTACACTTGCAGGTCATCTCAATTCAGACTCCCCACATTCAAGTGCTCAATAGCCACATGGTGAGTAGCTACAGTAGAAGACAGTACAGGTCTATACTCTGTTGACTTCCTCATCTATTCACTGTTCCACCTACTCCAATCTGGCCTGTGACCTTAGCACTCCTCTCTAGCTGCTTTTATCAAGGAGGTTCCCATGATTTCCCTACTACCAAAGCCAGTGGCCTCTCTGTCCTCAGCTCTGCAGTCACCAGCACAGATGACCTCTCTTGCTATCTAGACATGTCCTTCCCCGTTTCTGAGCAGCGTCCCTCCTGGTTTTCCACTTCCCTCAGTGGCTGCTCCACAATCTTCCTGGCCACCCCCTCCTCTTCTATTGGTTTTCTCATCTAAAGGATGGTGTAAAGGAAAAACTCATTCCCCTGTGTCTCCTGTATTCTCAATACTCCACTCTTACACTTCTGTGAGTTTTCCACTCATCAAACAATTCTGTGATACCACGTGGGTGTCCTACAATTTAACTCAATTCAGACACTACCTACCTGGAGACGGCATCAGATCACACAGGTTAGGGATTCAGGCCAATAAGACTGCGCGCACACACACCCTTCAGATATCAGTTGCAAGTCCAGCTTCTCACTTGTGCTTTTGACCAACTGCTTGTAATTTGGAGGTTCCCACAACCCCTCCCCACACACTTGGGTTAAATTAATTTGCTAGAGTGGCTCACAGAACTCGGAAACATTTTAACTACTAATTATCAATTTATTATAAAAGGATCAAACTCAGGAGCAGCCGGTTGGAAGAGATGCATTGGGCAAGGCATGCGAGAAGGGACAGTTTCCACACCCTCTTTGGGTGCATCACCCACCCAGCACCTCCATAGTTTACCAACCAGGAAGCTCTCGGAACCCTGTCCTTTTGGGTTTTGGGGGTTTCATAACATAGACATAATTGACATCATTGGCCATTGGTGATTGGACTCAGTTTCCAGCCCCTTTCTCTCCCCTCCCTGAAAGTTCCAGTCCTCTAACTATGGTTAGTTCTTCTAGCAACCAGCTCCCACATTCTTAGGTTACCTAAGGGGCTTTCCTGAAGTTAACGCATTAACATAAACTCCTGTGATTGAAAGGGGCTTGTTATGAGCCCGGCCAGTGTGGCTCAGTGGGTGAGGTTTGACCTGTGAACCAGGAGGTCACAGCTCAATTCCCGGCCAGGGCACATGCCCAGGTTGCATGTTCCATTCCCCGTAAGGGGCGTGCAGGAGGCGGCTGATCAGTGATTCTCATCATGATGCTTCTCTCCCTCTCTCTTTCTGAAATCAATAAAAATATATTTATGAAAGGGGTTTGTTATGAATAGCAAAAGACACCTTTTGGCTAGTGCTATTTTGGGGCTGAGCCCATCTGATTTCCAGATGACCTAATACATTTATAATTCTTTACAAATTCTCTAATCGCTTCAGAAATTCCAAGGGTTTTAGGAGTTTTGTGGTAGGAATGGAGGAAGACCAAATATATATTTCTTATAAATCACAGTATCACAGCTCTATCCACTAAGCCAAACCGGCTAGGGCCACACACTTATTCTTATTTACTGGATAACTGCCCTGTGCCAGACACTGTGTTATGACCTAGTGTCAGGGGCAGAAATAGAATATTGGGGGCTAGCTAAATATTAATCATGCTCTGTTAACCGTGATTGCTTTGTTCTGAGTAAAGAAAGCACATTCTAACCTGCCTGGGAGTTAGTTGTACGCCCTTGGACCTGGGAGTCAACCTAGCCCCTGGGGCCTGGGAGTTGACTTGCCCCTGGGAGTCAACCTTGGAATGTGGTCCATTCTCATTCAAGAACTGCCTATTATCATAGAAAGATTAACAACCCTCTTACCCAAATAATAGAGTCTAGTCCCAGCCAGAATTGCCTATAATCTGTAATCATTATACCCATTTTTATTCCTTTTGCCTACTTCCCCATGCCTGTAATACCCATTATTTTTTTATTTATTTTTTTAAACGATGTCCATACATCTTTATTTTATTTATTGATTAATTTTAGAGAGAGGAGAAGGGAGAGAGAGAGAGAGAAATAATGCTTTGTTATTTCACTTATGTATGCGTTCATTGGTTGCTTCTTGTATGTACCCTGACCAGGAATTGAACCTGAAACCTTGGCCTATCACGATGACACTCTAACCAACTGAACTACCCAGCCAGAGCCTCATTCTTTTATTTTTTAATTTATCTTTGTTGTTGATAGTATTACAGATGTCCCCTTTGGGTTTTTTGTAGTTGTTGTTTTCCCATTGACCCCCTCCACCCAGCACCCGCCCCTCCCAGGCCTTCACCACACTATTGTCTGTGTCCTTGGGCTCTGCAGATAAATTTCCCAGTTAATCTTCCCCCACCCACTTCCCCATCCCCGCCTTCCTTTTGAAATTCCTCAGTCTGTTCCATAGTTCTATGTCTCTGGATCTATTTTGTTCATCAGTTTAATTTGCTCATTAGATTCCACATATGAATGAGATCATGTGATACTTGCCTTTCTTTGACTGGCTTATTTCCCTTAGCATAATACTCTCCAGGTCCATTCATGATGTTACAAATGGTAAGAGTTCCTTCTTTCTTTCTTTTCTTTTTTTTTTTTTAATATATTTTTATTTGATTTCAGAGAGGAAGGGAGATGGAGAGATAGAAAACCAATGATGAGAGAATCATTGATCAGCTGCCTCCTGCACACCCCACACGGGATTGAGCCCACACCCCAGACATGTGCCCTGACTGGGAATTGAACCCTGACCTCCTGGTTCATAGGTCTATGCTCAATCACTGAGCCATGCTGGCTGGGAAAGAGTTCCTTCTTTTTTACCCCTAAGTAGTATTCCATTGTGTAGATCAGGGGTCCTCAAACTACGGCCCGCGGGCCACATGCAAATACAAATATTGTATTTGTTCCCGTTTTGTTTTTTTTACTTCAAAATAAGATATGTGCAGTGTGCATAGGAATTTGTTCATAGTTTTTTTTTAAACTATAGTCCGGCCCTCCAACGGTCTGAGGGACAGTGAACTGGCCCCCTGTTTAAAAAGTTTGAGGACCCCTGGTGTAGATATACCACAGCTTTTTTATCCACTCATCTGATGGGCACTTGCACTGCTTCCAAATCTTAGCTATTATAAATTGTGCTGCTATGAACATAGGGGCATATATATATTCTTTCTGATTGGTGTTTTGGGTTTCTTTTTTTTTTTTCAAACTAAGAAAGGCTTTATTTTAAGAGAAAACAAACAGGAAAAAGACATCCAAATGCAAGTGAGAGAATTCACTGTATTTTTTAAAAGAGAAAGCTGCACTTAGGTGTCAATTAAAACCAGAGCCATTGTAGAGATGCCTGCTGTTTGTGGTGACAAAGTTACAACATGTGTTTGCCTGAGAAGTCTTTCTGTGGTGGCATCAATGTGGGACTGCATGACAAGAGTGAAGCAATACAAGGTAGAATGGCAAGTGGGTAAATGCTCTAATGTGCTCTTGTTCTGTTTTGGAGAATTAAAGGAAGCAGCAGGTCACCTCACAAAGAACTATATTGTCAAAGAAAACTTACAACAGTTGAAAATGGATGTGAGGTTGTTACTAAAGTGCTGGGAGCCAGTCCATCCTTGCTGTTTCAAGGGACCTGGCATATATGGCATACTGTTCTTAAACTGTTTGCTCCCATTCTTGGCGCTATGTGTTTTAACCAAAGTCACCTCTCCGAGAAAGGTTGTTTCCCCAGGTAGGAATTTTTCGCTGAGGTTAGGGAGGGGATACAACCCCTTAATTAAGTGCCAGGTGGGTAGTTAAGCTACATAATCTTTACTCCCTGGAATGGAGATAAGAAACGCCCTAACCTTTGTAATAGAAATTGACAGGATTAAAATCGGCTGGTATAAATACGGATGTAACAAGACCATAAACATCAGATCCTCATCAGATCCTAACCAGAACCTAGCCAGAGAACATGGCAAAAGATCCTGGACAGAACCTGGCTACAGAACTTCACTGGAGAACCTAGACAGAACATGGCAAGAGAACCTGACTAGAACCTGGTGACTGAACCTGGCTGAAGAACCTGGACAGAACCTGGCTGGAGAACCTAGCAAGAGAACATGGACACAGCACTTGGCTGGATCCTAACCAGAACTTCGCTGGAGACCAGAACTTCGCTGGAGATCCTGACCAGAACTCGGCTGGAGTTCCTGGCTTGAGATCCTGGAGGGAGAACCTCGCTATGCTGATCAACTGAACGCTGACCCCATGCCATTCCTTCTTCGCCGACTCCGTCCACACCTTTGGGGACCCCTGGACCCGCTGGGGTTGGACCCCAGCATTAAAGGTATACAGGGAGGTTAGTGGGGAAAAAACACTTGTGTTCTCAAAAACCAGGTTTCATACAATAACAGGCACTAAAACTAGTTGTGTGTGCTTGCAACAGGAGAGAATACTCTTAATAAAGGCTGGTCTTTTTCATGATATGCAGGAAATCTTCCTCATTGACTTTCCCATCTCCATCTCAATCAGCTTCATCAATCATTTCCTTCAGCTCCTCATCAGTGATGTTCTCACCCAACTCATTGGATACACGTTTGAGATTGTCGAACGATATGGTCCCAGTTTCATCATCATCGAAGAGCTTGAAAGCTTTCAGGATGTCTTCTTTGGAATCTTTCTCGCACATTTTTTGAGTCATCACAGTCAAGAAGTCATTGAAATTCATTTTTCCTGTACCTTCTGGATCAATTTCACTTATCATCTTCATAATCTCTTCTTTCTTTGGTTCAGAGCCCATTGCTCTCATCACCACCTTGAGCTCTCTAACATCAGTGGTCCCAGTTGCATCAGAATCGAAGAGATCAAAAGCTTGGCGTAGCTCCTGTATCTGCTGTGGACTAAGCTCCAGCTTAGGACTCACTCTTTTTTTTTTTTTTAATATATTTAATTGATTTCAGAGAGGGAGAGAGATAGATAGAAACATGATGAGAGAGAATCATTGACTGGCTGCCTTCTGCACGCCCCCTACTTCAGGGGATAGAACCCACAACTCGGCCATGTGCCCCTGGCTGGAATCGAACCCGGGACCCTTCAGTCCGCAGGCTGACACTCTATCCACTGAGCCAAGCCAGCTAGGGCAAGGACTCACTCTTTTTGGCTGGGAAGATATGCCACGTTTGTTGTCTTAGAGCTAGAAGAAGCCATCTCCAACCGACTCTGTTTTGGGTTTCTTAGGATATATTCCTAGAAGTGGGATCACTGGGTCAAATGGGAGTTCCATATTTAATTTTTTGAGGAAACTCCACTTTGTTTTCCACAGTGGCTTGCACCAGTCTGCATTCCCACCAACAGTGTAATAGGGTTCCCATTTCTCCACACCCTCACCAACACTTGTCTTTTGTTGATTTGTTGATGAAAGCCATTAGGACAGGTATGAGGCGATACTTCACTGTCATTTTAATTTGCATCTCTCAGATGATTAGTGACTGAGCATTTTTTCATATGTCTCTTGGCTTTCGGTATGTCCACTTTGGAGAAGCGTCTTATTTAAGTCCTTTGCCCCTTTTTTTAAAAAAAACAAACACAAAAAACATTTCTATTGATTTCAGAGAGGAAGGGAGAGAGAGAGCTAGAAACATCAATGATGAGAGAGACTCATTGATTGGCTTCCTCCTGCATGTCCCCTCCTGGGGATTGAGCCTGCAACCTGGGCATGTGCCCTAACCTGGAATCTAATCGTGACCTCCTGGTCTATAGTCCACGCTCAACCACTGAGCCATGCACATCAGTCAGGCTCTTTGCCCATTTTTTCATTGGGATATTTGTCTTTTGTTAAGTTGTATGAGCTCCTTATATATCTTGGAAGTTAACCCCTTATCACATGTATCATTGGAAAATGATACATAGATTGTATCATTGGCAAACCCCATATCATCGTCCTACCCCATATAATAGATTCAATGTAACCCTGATTAAAATACCAATGACATATTTCACAGATCTAGAACAAACACTCCAAAAATTTATATAAAACCAAAAAAGACCTCGAATAGCTGCAGCAATCTTGAGAAAGAAGAACAAAGTTGGAGGAATCACAATACCAGGTATCAAGTAATACTACAAAGCCACTATACACTAAACTGCTTGGTACTGGCACAAGAACAGGCATGTAGATCAGCGGAACAGAACAGAGGCCCCAGAAATCGACCCAAACCATTATGCTCAATTAATATCTGACAAAGAAGGCAAGAACTGCAATGGAGTAAAGACAGTCTCTTCAAATAAATGGTGTTGGGAAAGTTGGAAAGGTGCATGCACAAAAATGGAACTAGACCACCAACTTCTACCATACACAAGAATAAACTCAAAATGGATAAAAGACCTAAAGTAAGTAATGAAACTATAAAAATCTTAGAAGAAACCATAGGCAGCACAATCTCAAACATCTCAAATATATAGCAGTATATTTACTGATACATCTCCTAGGGCAAAGGAAACTAAAGAGAAAATAAACCAATGGGACTACATCAAAATAAAAAGCTTCTGCCCAGCAAAAGAAACCAGCAACAAAGTGAAAAGAGAGCCTGCTTCATGGGAGAACATATTTGCAATGCATATCCATTCTTAATCCCTTTGTCCTATCCCATATAAGCAGCTGGTTTATCGGGGGTTGCAGAGCAGATTTTGTAGCTGGCCTGCTGCTCTCCCAGTTGCCAGCAGTATTGGAATAAATGCTCATATATGACTCAACCCTGTCTCTGCTTAATTGGCTCAAGTAGTGACAGGCAGCCCGGACCCGTTGGTTGTCCAGTTTCTCTAGGGGTTCAAGGATCAACAAGACAGTTATGGAATGTAATTTTAGTGGGGGCCAACAGGCAATACATACAAGATAAAAATAAGCAAAATAATTCCAGTGGGTGCTGATGGAATAAATTTGGGGAGATGTGATTGAGTGACAAGGAGGGAGAGTGCTAATTCAGATTGAGAAGTGTGGTCTGAGGTGACATGTGACCTGAGACCTGAATGACCCAAAGAAGCCAGCCGTAGAAAGCTATGGAGCAAGAGCACCCCAGGTGGAGGGAACTGAGAGTGCAAAGGCCCTGAGGCAGGAATACTTTGTAATAGAGCTGACTCTGGTCCAGTGCTCCTTCACCACTTGCTCTCTCTCTAGGCTAGCAGTGGGGAACGTCCGGCCAGCGGGCCATATATGACCTGCAAAATCATTTGGTCTGGCTCTGCTGAGGCATCAGGGTGAGTTAATTAAATGTTTGACCAAATATAGCCGGCTAATTTTTTTAAAATATATTTTTATTGATTTCAGAGAGGAAGATAGAAACATCAATGATGATAATCATTGATGGGCTGCCTCCTGCACACCCCCTACTGGGGATGGAGCCTGCAACCCGGGCATGTGCCCTTGACCTGAATCGAACCTGGGACCCTTCAGTCCCAGGCCGACGCTCTATCCACTGAGCCAAACCGGCTAGGGCTAATTTTAAAGCTGATAATTTTGTATGGCCTGGGAGTGATGTTATTAATATCCAAATGGCCCTTGGCAGAAAAAAGGTTTCCCACCCCTGCTCTAGGCCCTCAAAGAATTTCCTTTGGTGTCCTGGGCCTCTCTTAAGCTCAGTCCCTGCCTGCCAACTCATCCAGGAAGGCAGCAGCATTCTGGGGCTGTGGGTCCCCCTCCCAGAAGCCCTGTGGCTGACCAGGATCTGAGTTTCCTGGTTCCTGTCTGGCAGGGGGTGAGCAGACATCCTCCCAGCCTTCTCAGCCCCAGCCCCAAATCTCCATGACAACCCTAGACACAATCCTGATCTGAAGGGGAATCTGGAATGAAGAGCACAAAGATCACTGAGGAGGAGGTGGCGGACTTGGCTCTCCTTGCCCCTTGTATCCTGCCAGCCTCCCCACTGGCCTGACCAGGCCCCCAAACCCGGTTTTCCCCAAAGACCCCAAACCAAAGATTCTGCAGGTTTGCCCTGTTGCTGGGCACAGCAGGGCTGGATGGAAGCCCATTTCTGCAGCTCCCCCAAAGGCTGCTCCTGCTGGGGGCAGCCGCCCTGACTGTGTCTGCTCTGGAGACAGGTGCGTATAAAGGGACTTGGCTGGGGTGGGCAGGAGATTCAGGCCCCACCACCCTTAGAGAATGTTTCCCCAGTCAGTACTCACCCTAATGGGCTGGGACCCCTGGAGTCGGGGAGGCTGGGAAGCCGTGTGCCTGGTCTTGCCTGGCACCCCCAAGTCTACCCAAACCCCTCTGGAAGACGAGGGCTCCAAGTCACTCAGAAGCAGGGATCTGGGGGGGATGTGACAGCCCTCAGATCTGGCCGTGGAGTCAGACAAGCCTGCATCACAAACTCGCTCTGCCTCTACCTGCATTTCTACCATTGAGATCATTGTTTCAACTTTCTAAGTCTCGGGTTCTTCAGTAGTAAGATGGGAATCATAGTAAACCCTTGCCCCTTAAGAGAATTGATTATCGTGCATTAAGGATGAGATAAACCATGCAAGACACTTAGCCCGGCCCACAGAAAGTGCTCAATTCACCAACTCTACTCTCATTCCCCACACTGGCATGTTGCGCCCTGAGGGCTGAGGTTAAATCAGGGTTCTTTTTTTTTTTTTTTCTAATGTATTTTTGATTTGAGAGAGGATGGGAGAGGGGGAGAGAGATAAGAAACATCAATGGCCCTAGCTAGTTTGGCTCAGTGGATAGGGCGTTGGCCTGTGGACTGGAGGGTCCCGGGTTCGATTCCGGTCAAGGGCACATGCCCAGGTTGCAGGCTCAATCCCCAATACAGGGTGTGCAGGAGGCAGCCGATCAATGATTCTCTGTCATCATTGATGTTCTGATCTCTCTCTCCCTCTCCCTTCCTCTCTGAAATCAATAAAAATATATTAAGATGTATATATTTAAAAAAAGAAAAGAAACATCAATGATGAGAATCATTGGTTAGTAGCCTCCTGTATGCCCCCTACTGAGGATCGAGCCAGCAACCCAGGGCATGTTGTGCCCTTGACCAGAATTGAATCTGGGACCCTTCAGTCCGTAGGCTGATGCTCTGTCCACTGAGCCAAACCAGCTAGGGCAGATCAGAGTTCTTTTTGCGAGGAGAGGGAACGGCTGTGAGGTGGACAGGTACCAAATTGTGTCTACCTCATCCTTCAGGCAGCAATGACAGCTTGCATGCTATCACACTCACTAAATGCCAGGCACTGTCTGAAGCACTGAGCACGTTCATGTCCACAGTCCTTTAGTTTCAACTCCAAAATACACAAGCTATTAAAACCAAAATTTGTCCTTAACTAATTTACTGGCAACACCTGACCTGAACTGACTGGAGGCTTCATTTGTCTTGCTCAGGGTAAATGTTCTTACAATTGCTCTAGAAAATGATCATGGAGGACTGTATATACCATACAGCATGGGCAAAAGTAGGTTTACAGTTGCTCGTATGGGAAAATAATGCAATAGCCCTGGCCAGGTAGCTCAATTGGTTATGCTCTAACCGTTAGAGCGTCGTCCCAATATGCCCAGGTTGCAGGTTCAGGGCACATACAAGAATCAACCAAAGAATGCATAAATAAACGGAACAACACATCAATATTTCTCTCTCTCTAAAAATCAATCAATAAAAATTTTAAAAAGTACAATAATAAATAATGCAGCTGTAAACCTACTTTTGTCCCACCTTGTAAATACATCATATTCTCTTTCTAAAATCTGGAACATTCTGAAACATATTCGAGGATTTTTGAATAAGAGATTGAGGGCGTAAATTATTTAATCCTCACAAAAATTCCGAGATTGCTTGCTCATCCTTCCCGTTTTACCAATGAGGAAACTGAGGCTCAGAGAGGGTGAGTGACTTACTTGGGGTCACACAGTGAGCAGGAGGCAGAGCCAGGCTTGGAACGAGGCCTGGTGGACCTCTGCGGGCGGAGGTGGCAGGGGGACGGGTTCTACTTCGTGGCCCAGGACACCGACTGCGGGCTTTGGCTGCGTGCGGCGCCCCGCAGACCTCGGCGTCCCGGGCATCCCCGGAGCCCAACGCTTCCACCCCAGCATCCTTGTCCCGTCCAGCTCCTACCTGCAGTTCTACGAGGGTCCCGTCCGTCAGGAGCGCCCTGGCCCCGGGGCACCCCCCTCTGCGGCCTGACCATCCTGGGCTGGGTGAGGTCCACGGGGGAGTTCCTCGGCCTGCGCCTGGTCACCAGAGGTCGCCAGCCCCGCGGGGACTTCGTGGGAGAAGTCACCTCTTTCCGTTTGGGTGGGTTAGGGCTGTTGGCCAGGACGGGGCCTCCAAGCTGGGGTAACTGCGGCCCTGGGCTACCAATAGGGCACTGGGGGCACTAGAAGATGGAGCGGATTGGGTCCTAAGAGGGAAGGAGGTGGTGAGTGGTCACGGTAAGGGACATTCCAGCCTCAAAGAGCTTACCCCATAAATCTGGCTTCCATGGCTGCCCATACCAGACACACACACTCCCACACACTCACACCCACTCACTCACACTGTACATGCACACAACTCACACCTCACACACATACAACTCCACACCTTGTACACCCACACTGCAATCCACAACCCACACACCTCACACACATGGAATTCACATCACACCTCATACACTCACAGTACCACCTTGCACATTTCCACACAACTCACACTCATGTTCACACGCCTCTCCTCTACCAGCAGAGGGGCCTAGTTAGGACTCTTGAGTCTGCATGCACATGGAACCAGCCTTCTCCCACCTTCCACATTCTCTCACTATAAGACCACCCATCCTGCTTGCTACGGGCTGGCCCAAGTCCCTCATAACATGCCTCCCCTTTGGACCCCAGGCTCCTGTGGTCCCTACTTCCGCTGTGGGAATGGCGGGCGCATCCCCCTGAGTCTGGTTTGCGATCTCTGGGGCATGGACAACTGTGGCCACGGCAGTGACCAGGCTTCCTGGCCACCAGCCAACTGCAGAGGTCAGTGACGGGGTGCAGCCTGGGCCCTGCTGAGCAGGTAGGAGGGAAGCAGGGGCCCAGCTCCCCCTCCCAGGGCAGGGCCTCGGTGGGGAGGCCGGAGGCAGGGGCATGGCAGAAGAGAACAAGGGGAAGCACAGTAGTGGGGAATCGCTTTAGAAAACCTGTGCACACAGCCCACAGAGTACCTGAGGATCAGAGCAAGTTAGAGCCAGAATGACATGAGAGATTATCTAATCCAGCTGCTTTCAAATATTTTTTAAAGAAAAAAAAATTTTTTTAAGTTGACTTCAGAGAGGGAGAGGGAGAGATAGAAACGTCAATGATGAGAGAGAATCATTGACTGGCTGCCTCCTGCACACCCCCTCCTGGGGATGGAGCCCGCAACCCGGGCATGTGCCCTGACCAGGAATTGAACCGTGACCTCCTGGTTCATAGGTTGATGCTCAACCACTGAGCCACACCGGCCGGGCTCAAATGATATTTTAGTGCTGGAAGCTCTTCCTAAATGGGACTTTGCACAGCGGTCCAAGACATTAAAGGAAAGATGCTCTGTTTAAGTGGACAGGACGGGCCCCATGTCCCAGTGAGGAACCTGGCTTTGACTCTCAAGACTTACTTTTCTTTTCTTTCTTTCTTTCTTCTTTTTTTAAAATATATTTTATTGATTTTTTTACAGAGAGGAAGGGAGAGAGATAGTTAGAAACATGGATGAGAGAGAAACATCGATCAGCCGCCTCCTGCACATCTCCTATTGGGGATGTGCCCGCAACCAAGGCACATGCCCTTGACCGGAATCGAACCTGGGACCTTTCAGTCTGCAGGCCGACGCTCTATCCACTGAGCCAAACCGGTTTCGGCTCTTTTCTTTCTTTCTTTTTTTTTTTTTTCAAGACTTACTTTGAAAACCACTGATCCAGTCTGACACGCATTTCACAGATGGGGAAACGGGCCTAGGGAGGAGAAATGACTCGACGGCTCCAAGTCACAGTCAGTGATGACATAACCAGGAATGACCTCTGAGTCCAGGGAGACCAGGTCACCCAGGAGTATCCTTCTGAGAATCTGGAGGTGCCCTTGCCCCCAACAGGGCTGGCATACACGGCTGGACAGGTTGTTTACTACAAAAAAGCCGCTGGCGGAGTGGAATCCAGCTTCCCGGGTCCCCGCACACTCCCTCCTCAGTCCCCTTGGCAGATTCCTCGCCACCCCCCTGTCGCTCTGTGCTCTGTGCCATCAGGCCCAGTCCCTACATCCACTCCTCTTCCATCCTCCACTCATTCCCACAGTGGTCTCCTTCAGAACGCATGCCAGCTGGAATGTCTTTGAACTCTAGTTATATAACCACCTCCCAGCTCATCTCCATGTGGGTGTGTAGGTGGCATCTCAAACTTAACTTGGCCCAAAACTGAACTCCTGATCCACAGCTGTTGTGTGACTCTTTTTAAAAATATATTTAGACAGAGAGAAGGGAGAGGGAGAGAGAGATAGAAACATCAATGATGACAGAGACTCATTGATCGGCTGCCTCCTGCATGCCCCACACTGGGGATCAAGCCCACAATCCGGGCATGTGCCCTTGACTGGAATTGAACCCGGGAACTTTCAGTCCGCAGGCCGATGCTCTATCCACTGAGCCAAATCAGGTAGGGCTGTTGTGTGACTCTTTATTCCTTTTTGCAGCTCATAGCCAAGCCATTGGCATAAACTTGTCTGATGTTTTTCTCACAATAAGACTGGAGTTAGGGGTTATTAGGAGAAAGACTAAAGAGGTAAAGTGTCATTTTCATCATATCAAAGGTACACACCACCAACCTGACTCATGACTGTGGATGTTGGCCTGGAACCTGGTTGAGGTTGTGTTTGTCAAGTTTCTTCACTGTTTCTCTTTCTGCCTCCTCTTTCCATACTGTCCTCAGTGGGGAGTTCAGCTCTCTGACCAGAGGAGCCATCTAAGACAGTCAGTCATGCCACGCCCACGCTCAGAACCCACCACGCTCCTCACTCAAAGACAAAGCAAAGCCTCCAGAGGCCCACCTGCCCTCCTGTCCCTCAGCTCCTTCACACGGGTCCCCAGCAACTCCTTCCACACTTGTCTCGTCCTGCCTCTGGTCTCAAGACTAGCTCTCTCGCCCAGCCGCAGTGGCTCAACGGTTGAGCATTGACCTACGAACCGGGAGGTTATGGTTCGATTCCTGGTCAGTGCACATGCATGGGTTGCAGGCTCGATCCCCAGTGGCAGCCAATCAATGATTCCTTCTAATCATTGGTGTTTGGTGTTTCTCTCTCTCTCTCCCTTCCTCTCTGAAATCAATAATTTAAAAAAAAATTGCTCTCTCCTCTTCCTGAAAGCTGTTTCCCCAGAGATTTTCATACTCATTCCTTTGCCTCCTACGGGTCTCTTCTTTTAAAAAAAATTATATATATGTCTTTATTGATTTCAGAGAGGAAGAGAGAGGGAAAGAGAGATAGAAACATCAATGATGAGAGAGTATCATTGATTGGCTGCCTCCTACATGTCCCCTACAGGGGATCAAGCCCACAACCCAGGCATGTGCCCTTGACCTGAATCGAACCTGGGACCCTTCAGTCCCAGGCTGACACTCTATCCACTGAGCCAAACCAGCTAGGGCTACGGGTCTCTTCTTTTTTTTTTTTTTAATATATTTTATTGATTTTTTACAGAGAGGAAGGGAGAGAGACAGAGAGTCAGAAACCTCGATGAGAGAGAAACATCGATCAGCCGCCTCCTGCACATCTCCTACTGGGGATGTGCCCGCAACCCAGGTACATGCCCTTGACCAGAATCGAACCTGGGACCCTTCAGTCCGCAGGCCGACGCTCTATCCACTGAGCCAAACCGGTTTCGGCTATGGGTCTCTTCTTAACCCTCACTCTTAGTGAGCTCTCTCCTGACCCCTTAATTTTAAAAAAAAGCAACGCTGTGTCCATGGACACGTGAATGGATAAACAAAGTGTGATGTGGCCACACAATGGGATATTATTCAGCCCTAAAAAGGAAATTTCAACATGTCTGAAACCTTGAAGACACTCTGCTAATTGAAATAGGCTAAACAGAAAAGGATAAATGCTGTATGATTCCACTTCTATGAGACACCTAGAGTAGTCAAACTCAGAGACTGAAAGTAGAATGGTGGTTGCCAAGGGCTGGGCGGGGTGGGGGAGCGGAGGAAGAGAATAGGGAATTAGTATCTAATGGGGACAGAGTTTTAGTTTTGCAAGATGAAGAGTTCTGGAGATGGATGGTGGTGATGGCTGCACAGCAATGTGAATGTGCTTAACACCACTCAACGGTACACTTACAAAATGGTTAATGGTTTATTGTGGTATACATCACAACTTTAAAAAAAAGCAGCCCTGCTCCTAGCCAACACGCCTGTCCCTTTTCCCTGCTTAATTTTATCTCCATTTGACATAATTTCCTTTGTGTCTTCTCACACTGAACTGCCAGTTCCATGAAGACATTTTTGTCCGTTTTGCTCACTGTTGTATCCCCAGTCCCTAGGGCATAGTAGATGCTCGAGAAATATGAGTCAAATGAGGGGAAGAATGAACCTCCATGCCTCAGCTTCCTTATCTGTGAAATGGGGTGATAAACCTAACTTTTCAGAGTTGTTACAAACTTTAAGTGGAACGCCGTAGGTAAAGGGCCCAGCACTGAGCACGGTGTTGGGTGCACAGAGAACACTGAATGTGTGCACATCCTCCTTCCTGAGAAGTAGCTCTATTCATAAACTCCAGGCCCTGGAGCTAGACTGCATGAGTTCGAGTCCTCCCCTATCACTCCAGCTGTGTGACCTGGCAAATGACTTAGCCACCCTTCCTTGATCTACTAGTATACAATGGAAATACTAATGGTAACAAACAGAGGTTTGGAAAGGACTAAAGGAGACATAGCCATGCCTTAGGAGCCCAGTTTTGTGTTAGCTCTGTTATTTCCCACTCTGGTCCCTCTCTGATGCCCAGCCAGGAGGGGAGTACAGAGGCTGACACCTCCAGGCCCCCGACTGTCTCCCCAGCTCCCGGGGCAGCAGGCTCCCTCCAGAGTGCAGCTGGGAGCAGTCCCCCAGCGGGCCGGGGCCCTGCACAACAGGATGCAGCTGCGGAAGGTAGATGGTCTTGTTACCACCTGCCCCCACTCCTCCCACCAAGATCACACCGGTCCCTCTCCAGGTGTTGGGAACCGGGGGAGCAGGCCGGGGCTGAGACCTGAGTGGACTCTCCCTTTCCTGCAGGTCCCCGGCTACAGAAGGTGGTGCTGGCCTCCTCGCTGCTCCTGGCCTCTGCTGGCCTCCTCTGGTGCTGTTGCTCCTCCAGCCAGCTGGCCCGGAGGGCTGGGGCCCGTGGCCTCTGCTTTAGCTGCACCATCTGTCACACATGTCCTGGCCAGGTGGCCCCTGGTGGACTGCGGCCGAGTAGGACAGCCTTCCAGGGTCAGGGAGGCCATGCATAGAGAGGCTGCGGCTTCAGAGGACGGACAGTGGGCTCTGGGGTCGGACAGACCCTGGGTCCTTTCCCCACCCCCCCGAGGACTGTCTGACCTTGGGCAGGTCACGTAACCTCTGAGACTCAGTCTGCTCCTTTGGAAAATGGGACGATCCCTGCCTCCCCAGGTGTGGGGAAGGCCACAGGAGGTAACGGCCCCATAGCTCGTGCGGTGGCTGGCACTCTGCTGGATCCGTGAAGGGCAGGACCTCCATGCCCAGGGCAGGGAGCAGGGGCCTCGCTCACCTGAAGCTCCCCTGACTCACCCCCAGGCCTCACCTGCCCTGCTCCGGTGCACCCTCAAGTCCCACACGTGAAGCCCTAGTCACAGACACAGGGACCGCCTGGCGGGGATAGCACCGTTTATTAAGAAAGATCAAGACAAAGACCACAGGAGGTCCCTTCTGGACACAGAGGCCAGGCGTCCTGACCCAACGTCTGGGGAGCTACTGGTGGGGAGGGCGCTTGTCCCCAGTTGGGCCCTCAGGTTCCCACAGATGGGGCAGGGGTGTCATGGCCCCTTCCTGTCCCTCCGTCATGAGTTCTGGCTTCCCCCACCCAAGGCACTTGCTCTTTCCAACCAACACCCTCCTCCCCCCATATCCCTTGGGCCTTCACTTCCAGATCAGTGGGGGGATGTGGCCCTCTCAGTGCTGGGCTCGGCCTGCAGCAGCTCCTGGTAGCCCCTGAGGGCGGGGGCCCTGGGCTAGGTGTTGGGTGGGGGGATGCATACCAGCTGGTCAGGCAGAGGTGAAGGTGGAGGGGGGCTGGGACATGGGCTAACGGGGTGGGGGCTGCCTGTCCAGGGGTGAGCTGCCTTTTGCTCCACAGTTGGCACTAAAGAGCCTTTGCTACCCAGAGGAGGGTGGCAAAGGCCATTGCGACGCCCTCTGCTCCTAGTGGCTGGGGAGGACCCAGGCTGTACGCCATGGTTGGCTCTTGTAGGGACTAGGGCTGCAGACATGGGCGGCCTGGCTCTGCCGTGGGGGCACTTCTGAGGCCACTCAGCCACCATGCCTGCCCCTCTGAGGCACCTGCTCCCAGCCAGCCTGCCCTGTTCCCCCAGCCTGCGGCTTTGCCCAGGTGTGTTTGGGTGGGGGGTGGCATGCCCACCCTCCAGTCCAGCCCAGGGCGGTAGCAGCAAAGCGTGGCATCGCCTCCGTTTCTTACAAAATATTCATAATAATAATATTAATAATAACAGACTCGACGATGTGGGGCTGGGGCACTGCCCAGGAGTCCTTGTGGGCAGGCAGCTGCCTATGAGGGGCAGGGCCGCGTGTTGGCCCCCTCCTGGGCGTTGTGCTGCAGGTCCAGGGGCTGTGGGGGCGGGGCGCCGGGCCCGGCCGAGTGCAGCACCAGGTTCCTGAGACAGCCCATGATGCCTGAGGAGAACCGGCCCCCGGTCAGCGTGGCCACGTTGGGGGCTCCGCCTGTGGGGGGAGAGGACAGGACCTGTCAGTCAGCTCCAGGGGCCCCAGAGGAGAGGGGGGGCGTGTGCTGGAATCTGCAGGAGCCCTTCTGGCACCGAGGCCCCAGCCCAGGACTCACCGACGTAGATGCTGCCCTTGGTGTTGACGGCCACATTCGGGCCTGGGGACTGGCCGCTGACCAGCTCCTCACCGTCCACCTGGATGGAGCCCCTCCGGCCCTCTCTGTGGGGGCGGGACTGGGTCAGGCCCTTCACCAGCAGGCCTCCGAGCTTCCAGACCCAAAGAGCCCCTCCCATTTCCACACACTCGAGAAGTCCGCACCCGGAGTCCTTCCTTCCCCCCAGATAAGAGATCTGCACCCCCCAGCTTCCTAGCACCCACCAGGTTTCACCGATGTAGGTGCTTCCCCCCCATGTCCTGCCCTGAAGTCTGTGCTTCAAGTTGTCCCCCCAGAGCCCACCGCCTGCCTCCCCACGCGTGGTGGGGCCCCTTCCCCAGTGTCGGGGGGGCTCCCTTACCGCAGCGCCGTCACCCGATGCCACTCGCCGTCATTGATGGGGTCCTTCAGAGACAAGGCGGCCTCCCTGCTGCCCAGCTGGTAGCTGTGG